CATCTTCCTTAACCTTAAAAGGATGGAAATCGTTTTTGCGCACCCGAGAGTCAAAAAATTAGGTGACACTCATTGGCATCGCACATCTCAGTAAGAACAGTGTTAAAAAATATACACACTATTAAAACAGAAACCGTCCTACTCAAGACCAAAACCTCGCCGGATATTCAGAGGAAGGCTCGGTTCTTTACTGAGATTGTGACTAGACTTAAAGACGTATGAAGCAAGAAGTTTATAAAATAGAAAAATAACGATTAGAATAAATAATAGGAACAAAATTCTAGCTGCAGCATCTGAGCTACTGAACCTGAAAAATAAAAAAATCACTAACCAAATATTTACATAACTGGAAGAGACACAAGTGCGGATATACTGGGAAAACAAGACTATAACACTACACTGTTATAACTGGTTCTTATTTATACACTAACAAATGCAGCGCCTAAACTGCACACACAGAACTATGTGCTCACTAATTAGGTCAATGTGGTTTCGTTCTGACGACGCTAACACAGAATTCAAAGCAGTCAACCAATTGCAGCTGATCCCCAACTGCATGAATGTTACCTGCTCCTCCAACTGCTCCCAGGCAGAGTACCTGTGTAGAGTACTAATTAACTTTCTGTCCAATCGGAGCGTTGTTTGAATTTTAATAAATGATTATAAAATTAAATTTTATTATATGATTGTTCGTTATTTTCAATGAAAAGCAGAACAAATTTATCGAGAAGCTTCAAATGCGCCTCAAATGCCATATTAAAAAATAATTGCGATAAATTTTCATTAATAATTGATGCGCCAACTGTGACGGTCATAATTTGAGGATATTTACAATGATTTTTAAATAAGCATAAATAATTTTAAAACGCACTGAAAATACTTTTGATAAGTAAACTAGATCAAACTGCAAATATAAATCCAGACGTTTCAATTTGAGGATTCGATGCCAGGATTTTAATATATTAAAATTACACGCATGATCATAAATAATAGTTTCCTTTATCTTTGTTCTACTCTGAACAGCATCTTGCTTTTTCAATATGTTGCCGTCTAAGCTCGATAAATCTTTAGGTCTATAATGAAAACAATATTGTGATAATCAAGATCTGTTGCAAGGCTCAAACAATATCAATCATGAAATGTCGTCATTCAACGACAGCAGGAAGATAAAGCATCAGATTTGTAAGATTTTATGTACGAGGTTTATCCTCTTTATTTGCTGCATTTTTAACGCACCACGTGTTGAACTTATCAACGTCATGCGTCTCTAAATTGTGCAACGGAAGAATAAAGTAAGAGCTTTCTTCTGGAGACTTCGTGGGAAATTCGTTCTCAAATACTGAAACTTACCCGCAGTTCAATAAACCATTAACTGTCGTACAACAAGAGTTTGCAACTATTTCAATTAGTACATTACTAAGACATTGAAATGCTTTTGAAGTCTTAGGATGCCTGAAGATATCCTTCCCTTCGAAGCCCAATTCATAACTCAGTGGCAGTGTTCAGAGAACAGGTCTTGACGAACATGAACAGCTGTCACGGATCTCTCCCTTGCCCCCAGTTTTTAGCATTTAACAAAGATTTTATTTTAGCAAAGATTTGATCGCTCCCACGACCCAGTTTTTAGCAAAGATTTCCACGTTTGCAGAAAAATTCGGGATGGCGCGCAGAAAAGCGCGAGGCGCCGCAGCAAAGCAGATTACGAGGGTGACGCACAAAAGGATGCGAGTCGCAGGATTAAAGTGGGATAACAGAAAGAATTACGCCAGGATGTCGGGATCAGGCGCGAAATGCTGCACCGCGTTCTGCGTATACAATAAATGATCTCTGTAAAAATAAATACNCTACATCAACACGCCTGCTACATCGCATCGACTGCTACATCAACACGCCTGCTACATCGCATCGACTGCTACATCAACACGACTGCTACACGACTGCTACATCACATCGACTGCTACATCAACACGACTGCTACACGACTGCTACATCGCCTTCACCATATACACTGTACACTACAGGGTGTACACTACATCGCACCGCCATCATCATGTACACTGTACACTACAGGTTTTAAACAAAACCTGCCCAATCAATCGGGGAATTCGGGATCGCAGTAGAACTTTCAATTGCCAAAGACAATTTTTACGGTCAGCCTTTGGTACAAAANGGTTGTAGACTACATCGCCCCATCATCATCATGTACACTGTACACTACAGGTTGTACACTACATCGCACTGCCATCACCATGTACACTGTACACTACAGGTTGTACACTACATCGCCCCATCATCATCATGTACACTGTACACTACAGGGTGCACACTACATCGCACCGCCATCACCATGTACACTGTACACTATAGGTTGTAAGCAAAACCTTCCCAATAAATCGGGGAATGCGGGATCGGAGTAGAACTTTCAATCGCCGAAGACAATTTTTACGGTCAGCCTTTGGTACCGAATTTCAGAAATATTAAATTTTTCATTTTTTTCATCAACGAATGGAGTAGGAATTAAATTGCAGAATTTCCGCTCGGTAACTTTCATTACTGTCGATACTTAGTGGGTGAAACCAATAAACGATTGTTCGCTAATTTAGACTAAACATTGCACGCTGAAAACTTGTCTCTGATTGAGCATCCGAATTAAATTCTTCACATTTTAATTCACGTTGAGTTGTAAATTGAACTTTCAACAGAAATTTTCTCGAGCCTAATTACCAGCATCCCTTGTCGAAGCGAATGCGAACTTATTTTGTTGTTCTTTGAGCATTTTTACACAGACTTCTTCATCAAACTTTTGTACCCGGTGGAACATTTTAGCCGAATGGGAACCTTTACAGGCGGTTTTATGAGCCGCACTTACAATATTTCCTGCTTGCAAAATACTGCATTAACGTTGGTGCAGATACGCATATATATTAAGGTTCAATGATCAATATATCAAAATATACTCTGTGTATCTTAGATAAATATTTCGATCACCACTAATTGGTTACGTGGATTGGATTTGTAGTTCATCCGTATTCCATTGGAGGTTAAGCTTCAAACCAATGAACTGGTATAGCACAGTTATCGATAAATCTTTCCTCAGAAGTGACGACACTTGAACTGAAGCTGCAAAAGACGAAGTGTACCTCAGGTGCACATCACATGAAGCCTCCTTTCTATTAACGTCACCAACAAGAAGCGATGTGACGCATCACTGCTACACGTGACGCGCATCGAGGCCGCGGGAGGCGCTGGCGTCGCGAGGTCAGCGTCGCGTGAAGCGTTAATTCGATCTCGGCGCTCGGCGCGGACTCAATCAATAAGCAATTATCGGCTACGCGTCCTGTCTTGATGCGGGCTGCAGATCCGCACTACCGGGACTGCACCTTCAGATGCGATTAAAGTCATTGTTTGCGATGATCTAGCTACGATGTTGCAAAGATACTTATGGGATTTTCTTGATTCTCTAAAAAATATTTTCATATTCTTTTGACAAAATACAGAAAATACATTTTCTCATTATGTAGTTAAGAATGGATCTACTAAAAACTTGTTTGATAATTGAAGCAGTTTTAATTATTGCCTATTTTGAAAATCTAAGGATGCCAGCTACACTTGGCCCATTATAACGTCGTGAGATCAAAGGAACCACAGCCTCAAGTTACGACATAAATGCGTCTTACAGCGAGTGCGACGCGTTGCAGATATGCAGGTGTTTGCTGCAGTTGCAGGCATATTGGCAGGGTCTGCACCCAAGCAGGGATAACTATTCGAATTGCTGCACGCTGCACTGGCTTAACACGCCATGCTTCACTGCCCGCCGCGACGCTTTGATGGTCACAATATAAGACCAAAACTGAAGACCAGGCCAGGCGTGTAGACCACAGCATTCACTCATCAAGTCATATAATCTCATGTAATTAATATTTCTCTTGTATATTTCCGTAGGAAGTCATCAATACCCATCCTTTACACAGNTGCAAGTCCATTACACAGCGCTGAGACTGCAAGTCCATTACACAGCGCTGGGACTGCAAGTCCATTACACAGCGCTGGGACTGCAAGTCCATTACACAGCGCTGAGACTGCAAGTCCATTACACAGCGCTGGGACTGCAAGTCCATTACACAGCGCCTAGAGTGTAAGCCCATTACACAGCGCTGGGACCTACATCAGCTCGAGCACTCGTCACTAAAGGAGGCACTGAGACTTTAATTAGAAGCGACTTCACTACACGATTGTGCGGCAGATGAAGCCTCATTAACTTTTTAATGAGAATGAAAAGGGAAATTTTGGTTTTGAGAGCCTTAGGTTGTGGAGCCCAAGTAACGACGCTCACGTCACTAGGCGGTCCCCTGCTGTAGTGCAGTCGCTCACGTCCTGAGGGCATGTGTAGGGAGAAAGGCTCTCATGTAACCTGCTTGATTTCATGCTGGAATTATTTCTCACCTTTAATCGTTTGTAGAAGTAGTGATATTAAATATAGTCTGTAACCACTGCACTATGAATAAATTTGAGTTTGTCTCTGAACTCCGGAAGATTTTAACATTTATTTCATTTTTATCGTGAGTATTTGCGTGTCTTTAAAAAATAACAATTACTCTAAAATGAAAAACTATAGGAGTTTATTATCTATGACATTGATTTTCGGAGATGCGTCCAGCTAAACGATTTAAAGCCTGGATTGGAATTAANACTTAGTTTGAAAGCATTTTCTTCTAAAAACACAGCCTAACTTTAGCTATACTTTGTTTAATAAAGTCTGCGACAAAGAAATGATGTACTAATAAGGGCTCTGCAACCTTCACTGTGCCAAAGCAAGCGTCAAAGACAAACCATTGGATGTTGTTTCCTAAAAAATTTCAATATATAATTAACAATTTTACCTGCCCTCATTTAATAGGATAAAAAACTATCAAATAGATTTGAATTAGATACGATACAAGATCCTTACATAATACTTACATTGAAGCTATCCATATAATGCAACATATGACTTCTGGCAGGTCAACACGACCCAGACACGCCCATGCCGAGCTTCATGGACACCGTTGGCAACATCACCGTCATCAAGGGCAGGGACATCACCTTCACCTGCATCGTCAAGCACCTCGGCAAATATAAGGTGAGTCTCAAACATCACCGTCATCAAAGGCAGGGACATCACCTTCACCTGCATCGTCAAGCACCTCGGCAAATATAAGGTGAGTCTCAAATATCACCGTCATCAAAGGGCAGGGTTACCTCCTGCACCTCGTTTGGAGGATAGCCGATAATTAAACAGATGGATGAGAGGTGGAATGATATCACAGGATTAGATCGCCGTGCCTGTAGCAGGTGCAACAAATGGAGACAAATTGAAAGTAAGCTAGGATATTCTTTTCATGGTGCATATAAGTTTTTAGTGAATTACCAGACCTATTGTAGTGGATTAATATATGTCTAAACATGACCATGCACCCACTATACAGAAACAAACGGTTGCTAAGCAGGAGAGTCGCGCATGGAACATAGGAGCTTTTTATGCCACTTCATCCGAGAAAACATTCGAACTTTATGAAAATTATCGCAAGGGGACATAAAAAAACATTTTTTTGTTCAAATTCAGAGAATTTCAGTTAAATTTATCAGAAATTCAGGAATACTTTGTAAATAGAAGTTTTGAAAAGTTTTCAGGCGATCAGAAAATATAAATAGTATAACGTAGCAAGCAATAATATTTGATGCCGAGAATTGCATTGATCGCTTGAATTAAGGTTAATTAAGTGAGCGCCGGAGGATGCTCGAAGCGCTGCAGTGTCAGCAGAACATAAGCAAAGCGCTGAGCCATGCCACCATAAATGCCTGTATTAAATAGCGCAGTTTTTACACAGAATTGTTTCAGTGATGCCGCCTCTGAGATTAATTAAAGCCGGACAGCTGAGCTCTGACACGCACTCCCTGTCATGGTGATGACCGTGCTGTGCTGTGATGCTGTGCCGTGCTGGTATGTTGTGCCGTGCTGCTGTGTAGTGCTAGTATTCTGTGACAGTACTACCATGCAATACCGTAGCAATGCTGCTTTGCCATGCTGTGGCAGTGCTGCCATGCCATACCGTAGCAATGCTGCTGTGTCATTCTGTTGTGGAGATCTCCAGTCAGAGTCGATGCTGTGCAGCTCTGTGGTAGGTGCTGTGTCGGGATATCTGTCAGCGCCGATATGCTGTCATAATTCTCTGCCTTTATTCTACAGTGCTTGCACGGAGCATTTCGTTATCTGTATCGCCACATCCCATGTTGCTCATGATTGTTCTGGGTTTGTTGAATTTAAGGCTAAACGCCTGGAAAAGTTATGGTGGGGAAAAAAACTTTGAAACATAGACATAAATCAAATCAAAAGCAAAAATTAATTGAGACGCTCTATAGTAAAACTCTAGACGTCTTCCGCACGTACAGGAAATGAAACAAATAGACATAGTGTTAACTTAATATACACACTCGCATTTTTCTTACCATGCAATACCGTAGCAATGCTGCTGTGTCATGCTGTGCATGGTAGTAATACCATGCAATACCGTAGCAATGCTGCTGTATCATGCTGTGCATGGTAGTAATACCATGCAATACCGTAGCAATGCTGCTGTGTCATGCTGTGGTGGAGATCTCCAGGCAGTGTCGAGGCTGAGCAGCTCTGTGGTCGGTGCTGTGTCGAGATATGTCTGTCAGCGCCGATATGCTGTCATAATTCTCTGCCTTTTATTGTACAGCGATAGCACGGAGCCTTTCGTTATCTGTGTCGCCACATCCCATGTTGCTTATGATTGTTCTAGCTTTGTTGAATTTAAGGCTAAACGCCGGAAAAAGTTATGGGTGGGGAAAAAAACTATGAAACATAGACATTAATCAAATCAAAAGCAATAATTAATTGAGACGCTCTATAGTAGAACCCTAGACGTCTTCCGTACAGGAAATAGAACAAATAGACATAGTGTTAAGTTAATATACACACTCGCATTTTTCTTGTAGCGGAAGCAATTTTTTTATAGATTATATCACTACAGAGGTCAGTAATCTAATAGGCTCTTTTCCTTGGACCTTGCACGAAATGGATTTACTCGACAAAATAAACTACAAGAGACAGGACAAAGCACTAACATTCTTCATAGAACAAATACGCCTCACGATAGGTTCAATAAACGTAATATTGAGGAAGTTCACGGAAATGATATTAATACATAGAAAAGCATATAATGCGAACCATTCTCCATTGCATACGTTGAAGTACGTAGCATGACCGGGCTGTTGGGCATTGCAGTGGATGCACTGCGAGGTGATGTGTCGAAACTGTACAAAACTTTTCCAGGTTGATGTTGCACCGTGCTGCTCGATGTACAGGTCTAGACCCTGTGCGTACAGTGCACTTTTGTGTCTGGGAAGTGCAATACTTATGAGTAGTTTTGTGTATTTTAGTTGCATTATTTTATATTTTTGTGCTGTAGTTTGGCCCAACACTGGAGAAATGAGTTCCATTTGTGTAATTTTAAAGCTGAAATCATGTACCACAGTTATTATTTGGGAGTTTATTTATTTATTAGAGGAAATACAATTTCTTTCTGTGTGGGACGATGCCTAGCATTTAGGCCTGGCAATTAGGCCTGAGTGATCTACTTTTTAACCTACGAAAAACCTTTAATAGTTGTAATAGCTTAATAAGGACAAATGATTTATTATATAAGAATATTTTCAGTTTTCAGTACATTGAATTTAAGGGTAATGTGAAAATTCAATTAAGCAGGTATTTGATATTAGGAAATGATCAATAACACTACATATCTTAGGTGGGCATTGTAATATTGTTGATCTAACCTCCCATGATCTCGTAATGATGAAGTTTTAATAATACCATTAAATATTTAATCGCGATTTTGTGATGTGTCGAAACTGTACAAAACTTTTCCAGGTTGATGTTGCACCGTGCTGCTCGATGTACAGGTCTAGACCCTGTGCGTACAGTGCACTTTTCTGTCTGGGAAGTGCAACACTTATGAGTAGTTTTGTTTATTTTAGGTGCATTATTTAATATTTTTGTGCTGTGGCATGACCTAACACTGGAGGAATGTGTTCCATTTGGGTAATTCTAAAGCTGGAATCATATACCATATGTTATTATTTGGGAGTTTATTTCTTAATTAGAGGAAATACTATTTCTTTCTGTGTAGGACGATGCCTAGCATTTAGGCCTGGCAATTAGGCCTGAGTGATCTACTTTTTAACCTACGAAAACCTTTTGATAGTTGCAATAGCTTAATCGGGACAAATGATTTATTATATAAGGAAAATTTCCGTCAGTTTTCAGTACATTGAATTTAAGGGTTATGTGACAATTCAATTAAGCAGGTATTTGATCTTAGGATATGATCAATAACACTACATATCGTAGGTGAACATTGTAATATTGTTGATCTAACCATCCATGATCCCGTAATGATGAAGTTTTAATAATACCAATAAATATTTAATCGCGATTTCTGTGATACATATCTCCATAACTCATGTTATCTTAATATGCTGTAACAAAATATGATGCTTCAATAGCCTTGTATTGGTGACAATATAAATTTCCATGATACGAATTTTACTATAAAATTCCCGTAAAAAACTTTTTTTCAAAATAAACCTAAGACTTTGGTATATATTTACAAATGTGTCCATTTCATTGCAACACCACAAACACTTATCTTCAACATGAAAATATTAAAGCATTATTCCGTTCACGTTCCATCTCAAAAACAACAACAGAACAATTTCCCGGAACAGTGTGTCAAATAGGAGCAAGTAAAAAATATTTTGACAGCAATTTTTGAGACACCCAAAATATTTTTCCGTCACGTAACAATATTTTAGAGATTCATAAACATTTTTTTCGTCACTCCTAACAATTTTTTCGAGAAAGAAAATATTTTTCTGACACTTAACAATATTTTTTAGACTCCCAAAACATTTTCATGTAACCTAAAAATATTTCAGAGACTCCTACATTTTTTTCAGACACCTAACAATATTTTCGGGACTGGACAAACAATCTGACGGAAGCCTGAAAGCACGAGCGAAAGTCAGCTCGATTGAGGGCTCGTAAACTGACGTCCGGTCAATGCCGCAAACAACACAAAATGCTTCCAATAAAACACGTCCATATCAAATCACGCCGTAACTTTAAGTCCCCTATTCAATTTCTATGTAAATCCGCGGTAGCCTCTTGTTGTTGCGACATTCCCGGCCCGGGACGGTAGTGGTCCTGCCGATCGAGTCGGGCCGCTGGCTCGCACTCGCTCATTTGAAAAATTCCCAAATATCTATTTATATTGAAATATTTTTTATATTCTCTGTGGTTTGAGCAGTTACGTGTAATTTTCTATTTAAAAATTTTTCCTCAGTGGTAATAAAAATATATATTTTTTAACATCATCAACGAAGTCTTATTTGAGGAATAGAATGAAGGAAAAAAAGCAAATCATCATCAGAGGACCTCAGAATGAACTGATTCAATTTTTCAAGTCGATTCATTTAAAGGGCAAGTAGCTTTAATTTATCTTTCCATTTTCATTGCAGCATTCATTTGTCTACTCTCGTCTACCACATATATTTTATTAAAAAAACATCAGAAACGCAAGCTTATATTCCAGGAGAGTTAATTAAGAAAAGTTCAGTTTCGTAATCAAGCCAAAACAAAGAAGCCTCCTCGTAGTGTCCGCAGCTCTCATTAAAACAATTAACTTTTTAATCCTTGACACAAACAGACTCTGAAGTGAAGCGCCAGAGTTCTTAAGGACACACACAAGTCCGAAATAAAAGTGCTCGATTAGGCTGGAGTCTGCAGCTCCGTAAAAAGGCATTAGGTGAGATTGACGGTTGAGATCGAGGGGAGAACTTTGGGTCAATGTCGGCTGACTGCGCTAATGCGGCGCTGAAGACGCGCATCCGGCGGTGAGGACGCTTGTTAGACGTTGAATACGTTGAAACTTGAAGAATGAACATGACGTTGAAAACGCAGATACGATGTTGAAAGCGCAATCTGGACACAGCTATGTTGAAGCTATAAAAATGATCCTGATGCCGAAGAAGGTTATCAGACGCAGATGACGCTAA